CAGCTCTCAGCATCACTGTGAAAACTGAGACATAATAAGTATAAAAGCACTTCCACTACCACCAAACACAGCCTACCCTCAGGAATCCTTATTATAAATATAAAGATTATTTGGAAACATGGGATTACACACACTAAATACCATTAAACTAAAGAAGAAAACAGCATAAAATGGTATACATGTATTAATGATTATAATTACCCCCTGGGGCTCTCCTCATTCAAGTTCCTTAAGTGTCAAGAACCACAAGACTGATCCTAGAGATCACARCCCACCATCAAAGATTCCTTGTGAACATAAAATCACAGCTACAAGGCATTGTATGATCTGGCCCTGCCTCTTTCCATCCATCCCCAGCCAGTTTTCCTTCATTCCATCGGTGCCACTGGCTTCTTTTTGTTCCTTGATCCAAGAACATATACCCCTAGTCTCTTGGCCTGGAATGCAGGGCCTCTGATCTCAGAACCCCTGATCATTGGTCAACACTGCTGCTCAAATTTCAGGGCTCTAAGTTAAATGTCATGACCTTCCATTCTAACTGAAGTCCCTACTCCTGTCTGTACCATCCTTTGGTTGTTTCTTTCATAACACTTATCATAGTTTATAATTATATTTTTTTTATTTTTGTGCAATGTGTTTCATATCTGCCTCCCTCATTAAACTGGGAGTTCTGCAAGGACAGGGACCATGACTATCTGGTTTATCAATATATACCCAGCATAATCTCCCAAAAGTAATATATGCTAAATAAATATTTATCYAAATGAAACAACAAATAGCTATTTGTTCTGATTTTCTTCATTCCATAGAAGAGAGAACTAAAGCTTGGAAGAAATGACCCACTGAGGCACACTGTGGCTAAGGTGAGTTTAGATCATGGCCACTGGAGCTGGGCTAAGACTAAAGTCAGGGAAAAAAAATGTGTCAGTGAAACTGGAATTCAGGAGGGGRTACAGATTTTTCATCCACTGTAAAATTCTCCAATGGCTCAGAAAGGAGGAATTTTATTTATTGATTGATAATTTATTCCTTATTATTAAAGAGTACCAAATAGTAGTACTTCTAAGTTATAAAAAAAATTATCTATTTTCTTAGCCACATGACTGAAAAAATGATCTAATAGAAAAAAAGTAATGGTAAAGGAAAAAGGAAAGAGGCCACATGGTCACCTTCACTCTGTCCCACCTGTCCCACGGAGACCTTGGCCTCTGGCTCAGCCTAACACCAGATGAAGAGCTTAAAAGCTCTGAAGGCCCTCCCCCTTCCTGTCCCAAAACCTGTTTGCACTGAATGACTGCCACCCACACAAGCTAACTGTTACTTTGAACCCAAACTGAGCTTTGCACCCAACTTTCGCAACTCAATTCAGTGAACTCTTTGCCCAACAGAAATAGTGGAAAACTAACCCTGGTTGATGGTCCTCATGAGTCTGCACAATGAAGGCCCAGGACAGGGGTCCTTGGGACACATCAGCAAACAAGGACATCAAGAAGGGCAAAGCCACCTTTCAACAAGGTTGCAATGGGATGTACTGCTCAGTTCTGAGCTTTGACATGTTCTCTCTATTCCTCCTGGAAGCAACAAACAAGACCCCTGACCCAGACCCCTGACCTCCTCAAGATCCACACTAACGAACCAGGAATACATTGACCGCTACTTCAGCAAACTCTCATTAATCATGTCCCAAGTTCCAGGTTCTGTGCTGGGCTTCGGGACCAAGTATATGCATTCCTGGATCTCAGGAGCAAGGAAACATGCAATATGGGCATTTATTGTGGGCAAGAGCTATCATGCAGATATCATGGTCATATCATGGTCATGCAGGTATCATAGTCAGGGCTGGCTCTGACTATGTGAGCTAACAAAGTGGCACCAAAACCTTTAGCAGGTTCCAACRTCTACACAATATAATGTAGAAACTCAAGCCAGGATTAAGAGGTATCCACCAGTCAGAATCTCAGATTCAAGAATATAAAACCTTTCATGCCGATAAAATAAACCCTKCTAAGAAGGATCCAGCCTTATTATTTGTACCCAACTGAGGCTACCAGGAGATTAGTTCTGTTGCTTTCATGATGGACCCTCTCTGGACCCCTCCATCCCTCCAAACCCTAATTCCATCAAGTATACAAGAGGCAAGTCAGATCTTTCCAGCTCCAGCCCCATCTGACAATCTGAGCATCCGTGACTTAAAACAAACCACCTTTCTTTCTGATTCAACAAAATGGCATTCCTTTAGAAATCTTGAAGAGAAGTAACTCAAACAGGCTAGCAGGTAATGGCACAGCGTCTAAAAAAGGCCTTTAGTGTCAGGGGACCTGTTCCTACTTCCTTCTTCAACAAGAACTCTGCACAAATTGCCTTTAACTAAGCCTCCCTATCTCTCTAATCCCAACCCTTGTAAAGACATAAGTAATACTGAGCAAAAAGCTCAAAACCAGTGTAGACTGGCCCAGATGGGAGGATCCAGCCCACATCCTGTTCTACTCTTTTCCCTAATTCCTTTCCTGGTCAAGCACAGAAAATCTTTTTCCTGCCATTTAATCCTCTCCCAGGCTGGGCACTGCTAGGCAGCTGCTAAGCATTTGGAAGAGAGAAGGGAAGAAATGTGATGGACGGAATGAGAAAATCACAGCCTCTGGTCCTAGCTCAGGTGCTACCTGACGACCGGGGGGATCCCTCCCATGCTCTGTGCCTCAGCTTTCTCATCTGTAAAACCACAAGTTTGAAYTGGACTGTCCTTGAACCCCCGCCCCCTTTCACTGTCAATATGATTCCTTTCCATGACTCACTAATGGACACACCATGGCAAAGATAATTTCCCACTAAGAAGGCGGCTGCCACTAGGTTGAAGAGAAGCGGGGAACATGGACCACATAGTAGCTAAGAAATGAAGAGATAAGGACAAACCTACTAGAAAATGGAAATATCAGAGACTGGGAACAACTGCAAGAGGCAGGAGTTAAGGCAAGGAAGAAGTCAGAAACTTCAARATTTTCGATGGAGGATAGAAAAATAATGATGCTACTAATCATTACTAAAATAATGATGGCACAATGGTGTAGAATATCAACTCTGGAATGAGATTATCTGGATTTGAACCTTACTTGTGTTCCTTGTCACCAATGTGGAACTCTGTCTATCAAATACCTCTCTTAACCTTTCTATCAAATCCCTCATAACATGAGAACTGACAGCTATAATATGAGAAAAAATAGCACTTTATGAGGCCTTAAAAGGAATAATCTAGTTAATAATCCACTTCATGCCTGAAACATGGATGCTTATGTTTGTTTTTATAATTAATATTATGCATTAAGTTTCACTACTATTTTGACTAAAACAGAGAGGATACATTTAGAGAGCTAGTCCCTGCTCTCTTACTAGTGACCTTGGGATTCAGGTTCCCCATTTGTAACATGAGAGGCTGGACAAAATCAGTGTTTCTCAAGCTCGAAGCAGTATGCATACTTTGAAAGCATTATACGTGAGTTCTCTGCAAGGATTTTAAACATTTTGTGTYTTCATTTCAATGATCATCTAAACAAATCCTGATAAACGTATCTGGATTTTCTGAATGCTTACTTTAAAATCAAGTGCTGGCACAAGACTTCAAAGCCCAAGTTTATATTCATGCATGCGTTTGTGTTGGCATCAGTATTACTGTAGAGGACTGAGAAAGRAACAGATGAAAACTCGATTTATGAATGATGGGAATGAACCAAATGACATCAAATGAAACTTGTTCAAGCAGGAAAATGTACAGAGATTTGAATAATTAGCACACAGAAATACAGACTTGCCAAACTCAAAAGGAACAGTCCTGTACCACCCACTACTATATTCATGTTGCAGCTTATAATATGCATTTTAGCTAAGCAGAGTCAGTTGTTTTATCACATTTATTGTGTTAAATTTTAATTGTATTTTTTTGCAATTTTGTTTGCATTTAATTTGTAAAAATACACAAGGGTCATATAGTTATATCATAGCCTATAAAAGATATATATCTAGTTATATATATGAGCATACTTAAGTAACATTAAAATCAAAATTACATGAACAAAAGGGTATCCTGACATTTTTTGTTCTTTTAAGGAAGGTCCAAGCATCACTCTACTTTGAGAAACACTGAAATAAATTCTCTCCAAGGTTATTTACTGCTATTTGTGTTTCTGAAAGATGAACATTTTTTGGATCCAGATAAGTTGTGCTTCATTAAGACAGTGAAGTGGGGATGCAGGCTTGGAAATAGACAGAACAGGAAAGAGAGATTTAGAAACCAACTACAGAGAGATGTAGCTAAGCCAGGAGGACTAGATAGGATCACTAAGGAGGGGTAGCCAGAGATAAAACAGCAAAGAATTGACGCCTGAGCTTCAGGGAGATCACCCTGCCTTTTAGCCCTCCTGTTCCTTTGGAAAAATACCAAGCACCTGTGCATTAAAGATGACCTCCTCAGGATTACTCAAGGCATTACTGACCCATCTAGGAGGTGAAAGGCATAGAATCCTCCACAGAAATAAGACAGGCCTTGCTTATCATATTCCTCCAGGCCTACAAAGTTGGAAGGACAGAGCACAGTCTGACACCAAGAGATCCAGGAATTGATCTCTAAAGCTGTGCCATTATCTCACTGCACTCCCAATTCCCAGAAATACAGGGGCCCATGTGTTGCTCTTAGAAAGCCAGAAAGCTCCCAGGGCTATAGCAAAAGGAAATACTGGTGTGAGGTGGCCAGTGGCAATTATCTATTAGGTTTCAGAAGTCAGAACTCATGGGTCTCGGGGCTAGCACAAACCAAAGACAATATTCCTGCCTGGTTGCAAATCTTCCCTCTATGCCAAGCCACAAGGCCACATCAGGATCGCAGAGTCCTGGGTCCACAAGTGCCAGATTCATTCAATCTCTCTGGAAATCCAGAATACTCCCTTCCCTCCCTCCTCTAACCCGCTATGGAGGAAAGCATRAGAGAGCCCCGCAGAGAAACCCACACTTACTGTTTGTCTTCTTCTGAAAGTGAGGTTCTTCCACAGCAGCAACCTCAACTGAGGCCAATAAGCCATGTTACCTCAGCCGGCACCCAAAGCAACCTGTGTGTGGCTCAGGAGCCCTGGAGGCACTGGCCGAAGCTCACAGCAGACGCTGTGGCTGGTCATTAACTGAAAGATAAAGCAGAAGAGGAGACAGCCGTCAGTTATTGATGCAAAGTCATACACCAATGAGGGCCGTGGCTCCAGCCCTCTCACCTGAGACCGCCAAAACCCCAGTCTACGTCCTAACTGCTCCTCCATGGTCAGGTGTCCTGGACTCCAGCCAGGCTCAGGATACTCCAGCAAACAGGGCTTCAAAYTGCTGCTTTCTGGCAGCAGACCGGGAGCTAATCATTATGGTCCTAATCATTTGAACTCCATTGGTGTGATCATTTGGGAATGAAAAAATGCACTCAGAAAAACAGATTCAAGGGAGCAAACTTAGGTGATCAAAACACTGAGGACAGAAATGGCACATTGGAATCCCAGGCCTGTTTCCCTTCTCTGAGAAAGTAGCTCCCCTTACATAAAGTGTCAGCAGCATTGATAAATTTTGCCTCAAGCCTGGCGTGACTATGATGCTATTTCCTAAAATTCACTGCAGACAAAATTTTCATGTGGCCACAAAGTTGGGTCCTTCAAATGATAAATGGCACCATCAATAAAGCAGTTTCCCTGTCTGGAAAGCCTCAACGTGACTTTGATGACTGTGAATAAGCACCAAAGAAATGCCACAATATCTGGCTCCCGGGTGATAAAGACAATCTGAGAGCTGTGTCTCTGTGGAAAGAAAACAACATCCCACAGAGAAGCAAGGGCTGCTGAGGCAGACACAGCGCAGCACCTGTGAAACTGACAAGCTCCCACAGCCCCGGGCATATGCACACTTCTGGCCCTGTTGAACCTGCACCTGGGCGCACGGCCTGACTACTCCTTGTCAGGTGTCACAGCTGCCTCCTTTGGAGAAGGGTTTCACCACGCTGGGACAAGGAGTTCTCATAAACTGGAGATACAAGATTCTGTGTGTTCCAGCTGTCCACCCAACAGCTGTATTTATTGAATGCTGAAATAATCCCAAGGAATGATGCTCAAGTTAAAGTTGAGAAAGAGGCAAAAAATGAAAAGTGAAAAGAGAGAGAGAGAGAGAGAGAGAGAGAGAGAGAAGAGTGTGGCACACACAGGTTAAAGTCGTACCCTGTCAGCATTTGGTAGTCATGAACCTTCAACAGAACCAGAAACCAACTTTATTGATATAAATAAATAAATAAATAAACAAATAAATAAATATTGTGGCTTCTAGTAGCACAGGGTGGGACATTAGGCCTAAGGAACCAACAGCAAAAGGAGTTAAGGATGTAGAAACCATTTATGGATAAGGAACCAAAAACTGGACCAAAACTCCTTGAATCCAGAGGAGCTCTCAGTGCAAAGGTTACCCTGCAGTAGAATATTATCCTTTGTTCCCCACTCTACAAAGACTCTGATTAAAATCTTCTAGGGAAGCAAAGAGACTGGAGGAAATTTCCAGTGTCTGAGAAGAAAGGATGACCTATCATAAGATATTCTACTTCATTCCTTAGCAATCCAATAAAACAGGAATTCTTTCGAGATAGTCAAGATCTCTCTTTTCTTTATTATTTGTTCAGCAAACTGCTAATAGACACAAACCTCCAAAGTTTCTCATGCCACAAAGAGAAAGACTTAAACCAGAACTATCACACTGGTTTGCAGTTCCTTGTTTAAAGATGTCAACTGGACTCGTGGCATGAGAACCAGAAAGGCATCGGGAGGACCGTGCTTATAATCCCAAATTGTTTTGTAAATGGCTAAGGATTAGGACAGGGTTTGTACTCCAGAACTTCCAAAAAAATAAATGATTAACTAGATTTTTCTCCTGCAGAAAGCTTCTCTCAGGGAATCACTTAGTTGATTTATATACTACAGGAAACTTTTCAGATCCCCAAGGTAACATTGAGGAATCTAGAACAAAGTTTGCTATTAAAAAAGGAAAAACTAACCAACAGAAAGCAGAATTAGCCCCAGTTTCCCAAGCATGTGTCCATGGCCAAGGCTTCAGGGTCGCTGAAGGGGGTGATAATACCTGCCTGCCATGGCAATACGAGGACTAAATGAGATAAAATAAGTTCCCAAAACAGTCCAAGGCAAAACCTAAGTTGCCAAAGAAATATGAGTTCCCATCTTCCTACTTATATTTCTCTGTTTTATTATAACCCAGATAAATGGTTCCAACCTGTTCAAACTGGTCATTCTATTATTTMTAGCAAATCCRTTGTGAGTTCCTGGAAAGGAAGGAGGGATCAAGTCAGAAGGATGAAATCTGAGTGGCCTAGAGCCAGGGTCTCCAGGGCTGAACCCAAGTATAGAATTTCCTTCCCTCAACTATGCACGGAGAAGCTCAGAGGGAGAGAAGAACCTCCAGCATGCTCATAAGAAAAGGAGGAAAGGAAAACCAGGAGGGGGTTTCTTGGATGGCATTTATATAAAATTGCATTTTTAGGTCTCCAAACATGGGTGCTGACCCCACAGACCCTCAAGAGACATACAGATGGTTAGCAAGAAGTAGCCCACGGCAGCAGGAGAAAGTTCGACTCTGGCTTCACTGTGTGCAAACAGGCAGGCTTCCTGCCCCAATTCCTCCCGCCCACCTTGGCATTTCCTGACCTCCTACACAATCCCCCACCTCCGCCCCCATCTCAGAACACAATGATCAAGGCTGGGAGCAAGTCTCTCCAAAGAGAAGGGTTTGTCAATGCCTGAACCCTTCTGCCCAGGTAACAAAGCCAAAGGGACATTACCACATCAGTTTTCCAAGGAAGTGAACAAACAAAACCAGAAACCATAAAAAAAAAAAAAAAAGCCAGTACTACGTAATGTACTGGATTTCTCAATGTTTCAAAGCATAGCAGGCTCACTCCTGCCCTTCTACACATTTCCAGTTACTGGCTGGAAAGGATCCCACTTCACAATCATCACCAGTCAATAGGCCACTCTCATCTTGCTCCTGGAGAACCACAACAGCCACTTTACTGGCCTCCCTTCCTCCAGTCTTGCCCCACATCCAGCCCTTTGACCCACAGCACCTAAGTTCTTTGACCAAACCAAATATGCCATTCCACAATCCTTTCCAGCTCCTCACCGCCCTGAAGATGAGGTCCAATCCTCCACAAGGTTCACCARCCTCTGTCCTCCTGGCTGGGACTCCAGCCTACTCTCTCACCATTCCCCACCTGCTCAGCAATGCCTGGAGCTCTGAATCACAGGCTCCGGCTGTGGAACACTCAAGGACTGCTGGGAATTCTCTGGTGTGTTCCCTTGTCCTTTGTCCAGCACTGTCACCCTGGCTAAGTCTTCCTCCACCTTGGGTCTCCACTTCGTCACCACTTCCTCAGCTTCCTTTCCTGATCACCTCCGCTTCCTAGGTGGCCCCAGGGAGACCTCTGTTTTCCCTTATATGAGTATTCCTCTTCTGGGTCCCCGTCCCTTCATGACTGTTTTCAAAGACAATACAGGCAAAACTCAGGGGATGTTGACTTAATTAATTAAGAAAATGATAGACATGAGAAATAGGGTCTCAGCATTCAAGGGTGGTGACATTCAYGGGCCTGTGGTAACTGATTTCACAAGCTTTCCTAACGGATTCAGACAAATTGTCCCCAGAGAGGAAGCTCTGTGTACAGCAGGCTTCCACCTCACACWGAAGAGGGTCACAAAGGACTGCTGAGCTTGCCAGGTGGCTCCTGGGGCATCCTGGAAACTGTAATTGAATCTAAATCTGCTTCCCTTAAACATCAGGCTTAGCTACGGACTGAGCAACCCTCCCAAAGCCACAGGGACCGCTGAAATCCATTTCTGCCAATCCTCAGACTCAAGTCCTAGTGGCAGGCTCTCTAGGTCTTGTCATCAGTCACTCAGGTGGGTCACTCCTGGCCAGAATTTGGTAATTTCYATATCTCAAACTTGTTTGGAGCAGCACGGATCCGGAGAAAGTAACTACTCAAACGTGACCAATGTTTTTCTGAAATTTTCACTTCMAATGCCACTGATATTCTGAAGCTGTTCATATCTGCAGAATACCAAAGATTGCTAAAAATAGAATCATCCCAATAAGCAAAGATGCATAACATCAYACATTGCAGAGAAATGCAAGTTAAAACCACACTGAGATATCACTACATATCCACTGAAAGTTAAAAAAGTTCTAGGGAATATGTGGAGTAAYTGGAGCTCAGGACACGGATTGTGGTAATATACGATGAAAGARCCTCTTTAAGAAGTTTGGCAGTTTCTTGTTAAGGTTTACATATACTCAGGACATCACCCACCGATCCCAGCCTAGGTATTTACCCTCCAAAAAATGAGAGTATACGTCCACACAAAGACATAAATATAAATGTTTACAGAAGTATTATACAGAGTAGCCCCAAACTGCAAACCATCCAAATGTCCATCAACAGRAGAACAAATAAAAACGGAATACTACTTAGCAACACAAAGGAACCAACTACTGATAGATGCAACATCATGCATAAACCTCAATTACCTTATGCTAGGAGAAACAAGCCATTTATTTGGCATTCTGGAAAAGGTAAAACAAAAGAGAYGAAAATCAGGACAATGGTTGCCAGGGCTTATGGCAGGGGAAGAGGATAGAATGTGTAGGGGCATAGAAATGTTCTCTATTAGAATAGTGGTGGTAGAACATCTGTGAAAATGCATCACACTGCACAGTTTACAGGGGTGAATTTTACTGTATGTAAATTATATATCAATAAACCCAACACCAAAAAAAATCTGCCTTCTATTATAATAATTAATATCCCTAGAGGTCAAATTACACCTTGGAAGATCTAAGAACCGCAGAGTAGAAAACCTGATTATGGTGTGATCCCCTCAGAAAAGAAAARGTAGATAAACATTCATAACTACTTATTAATTCCACAAACAACTGCAGCCTTAACTGAAAAGGCTCCCATTAGCCACAACAAATATTTATCGAGCATCTATCATGTGCCAGGTGCTTGCAAGACCCTAGAGATTCAGCAAGGAACAAGAGACGCAAGCTTCCAGCCTTCATGGGAWCTCTGTTCTAGCAGAGGAGATGGAAAATA